GGAGGAGGAGGGAGGAGGAGGAGGAGGAAACGGAGAAGGAGACGGAGGAGAGGAAGGAATGAGGAGGAGGAAGGAGGAGGAGGAGGAGGAGGAGGAGGAGGAGGAGGAGGAGGAGGAGGAGGAGGGAGGAGGAGGAAGGGGAGGAGGAGGAGGAGGAGGAGGGAGGAGGAGGAGGAGGAGGAAGGAGGAGGGAGGAGAGGAGGAGGAGGAGGAGTAGGAGGAGGAGGCGGCGGAGGCGGGAAGGGTGGCGGGTATTTCATAGAACCCGCTGGCGCTAATGGGAATCCCCACCACACCTGGCACAGTGCGTGCGGCGTCTGGGGAGAGCGGCCCGCGCGCCCGCAACCTCCTCTCCGTCGGGTGCGAAGTCTCTGTGTGCGGGACGGGATGGTCATGGAAGGGCATCGCACGCCTGTCCGACTTCAGAAGGCCCAGGGATCACAGACCGGCCAAAAACCAATGGGTAAACACTGCGTGCCATTCCGCATGTATTACATTGCATAAGAGGCATCTCCTGGTGTATGGTTCCAGTGGGAGTTGTCCACAGCGGTTTCCTCCTCCTCCTCCTCCTCCTCCTCCACTTCCTCCACTTCCTCCTCTTCCTCCTCCTCCTTCTTCTCCTCCTTCTCCTCCTCTTGCTCCTCCTCGTGCTCCATCGCCTCGTCCTGCTTTTTCGCCCTGGCCTTCCCCCCTCTTCCTCCCCCTCCTTTTCCTCCTCCTCCTCCTCCTTCCTACTCGCTTCGCTTTCCTTATCCCGAGACGCGTCAGCTGGGCGGGCCAGGCGTTTCGCTTGAAATATCCTCGCCATTTAGGGGTCTGAAGCTTACGCTTGCAGCAGTTTTGTGGGTGGATGGCGGGTCCTGTTCAAAATGCGGCCCTCGCCTCAGCGCCGCGCACATTCGTCGTAAAAGTTTGCAGCAGCTTCGCGGATGGAGGACGGGTGGTTTTCAACATGTGGTTTTCGCCTCAGCGCCCCGCGCATTCGTTTTGGACACTTGCAGCAGTTTTGCGGATGGAGGGCGGGTCCTTTTCAACATGTGGCTCTCGCCTTAGTGCCGCGCACCTGCGTCTTGACAGTTTGCAAGAGAGTCGCGGGTGGAAGGCGGGTGGTTTTCAACATGTGGTTTTCGCATCAACGCCGCGCGCATCCGTCTTAAACGTCTTCCGTAGTTTTACGTGTGGAAAGCAGGTCGATGTCAACATGTGGCTCTCTCCCATTAGCGCCGCGCACCTTTGTGTTGCGTTGTATTTTGCCACAGGTTCACGAATGAAGCGCGGGTCGTTTTCGAATGTGGCTCTCGCGTGAGCGTCCACACGTTCGTCTTGACATGTTGCAAGAGGCTTGCGGATGGAAGGATTTTCGCCGCAGCGCCGCGCGCATTCGTCTTGAAAAGTTGAAGCAACTCCCTGGATGGAGGGCGGGTCCTTTTCAAATATGGTTCTCGCCTCAGCGCCGCGCGCATTCGTTTCATGAAAAGTTCGCAAGAGCTTTCCAGATGGAGGGTGGGCCGTTTTCAACATGTGGTGATCGCTTTAGCGCCGAGCGCGCTAGTCTTAAGAATTGCAGCAATTTCACGGTTTCTAGTGGTTGGCGTCCAAGAAACGGTGTTCGGGCACGAGTTCCAATTGCCTGGGCGCCACAGCCATTCTGACTCGCAGTACTGAAGTCCCAGGAACGGCGTGCCGGCATGATGCAGGATCGCCAGGAACCAGCAGTGAAGTTGAGCCGCGGCGTTGCAGTCCAAGGAGTGTTGTTGTAGCTGATTGAGGATTCTAATAAGGTTGTCTTCCACCAGGGCATTCCCAACAGTGAAAGCAAAGTCTTGTAGGGACATCTGAGGAAACTTGGAGGGAACGTTTACTGCAAAGTCGTTGAAGCGGCTTGGGTTTACACTGGACCTCCTCCTCGTCCTCCTCTTCCTCCTCCTACTCCTCCTCCTCCTCCTCCTCTTCCTAATGGTGCCCGAAAACCTATCATTGTCGCCACCTACTGCGACGAGGGGATCCCCGCGGTAGGATGGATACGCTGGCCGCGGACCCGCTAGCCAACCCAACCAACGATCACTTCAACCAAGCAGCCGGCGGCCGCCTCCGCCGGCAAGCACTTTGCCAAACCCTGCGCGCGTTTTCGCGCAAACCAACGCAAATGTCGCAGCGCCGCCTTGCCGAGGTGGCGCGCGGTCTCGGAGCGCGGCTCTCGCTGGGGGCGCGGCGCTCGGGATAGTGGCGCTGCTCGTGTCCGCCCTTCTCATCTGCGCTGACCGCGCAATGGGTCTTCGCGGTTACGGCGAGGTCGCGCGTGTCCCCTGAGGCGCTCGATATCTAGAGGCCGCCAACGCGCCGCGCATCAATCACGAGCGCCCCTTCGCGCACGACGTCGGGCGAAACTCTGGAAGCGTGGCAAGGCCCGCGCGTCCGCGCATCCGTGCGCGCTGCAAGCCGCCGCGGCGAGCTCCAGCGCAGCCAACCCCAAACTGGAACAGGGGCTTGTCGCGCTGCACTGAAACCGCAGTTCTGGCCGATGCACCCCACGATGCCCTCGACGTCGCGGCTGGATGTTCTCGCGCCACCACTGGCCATGTTCGCACGTGGCCGCCCCACCCATGTCGGCACAGTCTTCGCACGTTTCGTGGCCCCATAGGGAGCCCAGCTGAGGCCCCAGTGGTGACATTCGCATGTGGCGGCCACACCCCTCACACGCTTCATGGTCCATCCACCTAAGGCCCAGTGGACATGGCCGCCCGACCCATGTCGGCACAGTCCTCGCACGTGTCGTGGCCCCATAGGGAGCCCCACCTAAGGCCCCAGTGGTGACGTTCGCATGTGACGGCTCCACCGACTTCGGCACACCCCCTCACATGCTTCATGGTCCCAGAGGGAGCTCCACGTAAGGCCCCAGTGGACATGTTCGCATGTGACTGCCCGACCCATTTCGGCACGCCCTCGCGCGTTTCGTGGCCACACAAGGAGCGCGACCTATGGCCCCAGTGGCCATGCTCGCGCGTGGTCGCTCAACCAATTTCGGCACAGCGCTCGCGCTTTTCGCGGCCCCCCAGGGAATGCCACTTAAGGCCCCAATGGCCATGTTCACGCGTGGCCGCTCCACCAATTTCGGCACACCCCTCACACGCTTTATGGCCCCATGAAGGGCTCCACCGAAGGCCCCAGTGGCGACGGTCGCATGTGGCCAACCCACTCAGGTCTGCACACCCCTCACGCGCGTCGCGGCCCCATAGGGAATTCCATCCAATGCCCGCCCCATTGGCCATGTTCGCACGTGGCCGCCCCGCCCACGTCGGCACATCCCTCGCACGTTTCGTTGCCCCATACGGGGGCTCCACCTGAGGCTTTAGTTCGGCGGTGGACAAACCTCCCTTTTATAATGGAAACGGCCTAGGACCGAACCGACGGACCTGGACCCGCAAGAATGACGGCCGCGACGCTCTCTCGTGAACCGCGGCCAATTCGTTAATTGACGCGTCAAGATAGGAGGTCTATCGACCTCCGACTAGTGGCGTCGTTCGCACGTGGGCGTCGCGTCCGTTTCGGCGCACCTTGCACGCGCCTCGTGGCCCCCATGTGTGGGGCCCCACCGCTGGCCCCAGTGGCGACGTTCGCATGGCGGCCCCGCCCCATCTCCCTGGTGTAGGGGGAGAGAGAGAGAGAGAGAGAGGGCACGGGCACGGGGGCGGGGTTCCTAGCATTGTGTCCGCGCCTCGCTTCCACATGGGGGCTGTCCGCGCGTGCTCGTACGCGTGCGGTGGTCTGTTCGTCGGCGTCGATCGATCGGTCGGTCCGTCGGTCGTCGTCGTCGGCCGTCGTCGTCTTGGTCGGTCGGTCGGTCGTCATCGGTCGTCGTCGTCGTCGTCGTCGTCGTCGTCGTCTCGGTCGGTCGATCGTCGACGGTCATCGTCGGTCGTCGTCGTCTCGGTCGGCCGGTCGGTCCGTTCGGTCGGGTCGGTCGTTCGGTCATCGTCTTCGGTCGTCGTCGGTCGCCGTTGTCGGTCCGTCAGTCGTCTCGGTTGATCGGTCGGTCCGGTCGTCGGTCGGTCGGTCGGTTTGTCGGTCATCGTCGTCGGTCGTCGCCGTCTCGTTCGGTCGGTCGATCGGTCGTCGTCGGCGGTCAGCGTTTTGGTCGGTCGGTCGGTCTGGTCGTCCGCGTCGGTTGGTCAGTCGGTCTCTTGACCGTTGTCGTCGGTCGTCGTCGTCTCTGTTGGTCGGTCGGTCAGTCGGTCGGTCCGGTCGTCGGCGTCGGTCGGTCGGTCGGTCTGTCGGTCATCGTCGTCGGCTCAATCGGTCGGTAAATCGGTCGTCTTCGTCGTCCTCGTCGTCGGTCGGTCGGTCGATCCGTCGGCCTGTCGGTCGGTCGGTCGTCGTCGAAACGTCGGTCGGTCGTCGTCGCGGTCGCCGGTCGTCGGTCGGTCGGTCGGTCGGCGCTGTAAGAGATGGTTCCCTTTTGGCTCTCTCTTGGCCTCTTGGTGTCTTCTCGGTCAGAGAATTTCCGACAGCATCGCGCTCGCGCTGCTTTGCTAGAGCCGAAGACATGGCGCGCTCTGAAGTCGCGCCGCTGAAGCCAAACAGGCTACGGACGCAATGAAGGTCAGAATTTGACGTTGGACCCGAAACGTTTCCGATCAGATATGCTTACCAACATTTCACAACCAACAAATTAATCCACTGAAAGTAGTAACACGGGTAATCGTGGTTGTAACAGTATGATCATATGATTAATCGGATCGTAGCGGGAGGAGCAGGAAGAGCAGGAGGATGAATAGGAGAAGGAGGAGCAGGGGCACGAGGAGACACCATGAGTGCGATCGTCAGCCTGGGAGGAAAACGACGCATGACGAATATGATGATCAAATAGGCGTGACAACGAGGAGAAAGGGGATGGCGAGTACGAGGGGGAGAAAGAAGCAGACAGGAGGGAGGGAAGATGGGGAGGAAGCAGGAGTGGTGGGAATGATAAAGGAGGACTTGCGGTTTTCGGTCAACCGATCCTCTGTCGGTGACCTTCATCTTCGATGCCAGCGCCCAACTGCTCGTCGTTGTCCGAATCCGCCTCTGAGAGATGGGAAGCAGAGGCCGCCCAAACAAGGAGGCGGAGGAGGAACAGGAGCGGCAGGAAGATGGACCAGGGAATGGAGTGTGAGAAACAGTCGGGGAGTGATAGGGGGGGAAGGGAGGAGGACGACGAGGTAGGAGGAGGAACAAGAGGAGGATGGCGAGGATGGGGAGGAAAGGGAAGGGCGATCATGATTGGATAGACGAGGAGGGCGACGAAGGATATCGGGATGAGGAGGAGGCACAAAGGCCATGTGCCGACGTGCGCCCGGCAGCGGACTGCGAGGGCTGCCAGAGCGCTGCCTGCTCTGGCCAGAGCATGTTCTCGGATCTGCTTCTCTTATCTTCTCGCGTGCGCCGGCCTTGCCGTATTCTCAGACTTCTCACACATCACGCAAGATTCTCACAGCACCTCCTGTGCTGGCCCGTTCCCTCCAGTGCCCTTTGCGCGCCAATGTCGACTGTTCAGCGCTTCGGTGGCCGCTTTGGCGCCTGGCGCTCACCCGTCGCCCAACTTGGTACTTCATTCAACCGCTTGCCGTCGGTGCTGCCGACGGTCTTCTGCACTAAGGTTAGGCGGCGCGCCCGGGGGGAAGTGAGAAGGGCCGGGCCTTCTCAGAAGGCTCGGAAGTCCGCAGCCTTCTGAAACGTTTTCTAAGCCTTCCCCGAAGACGCAGAAAACCCCTCAGAAGGCCAGGGGGGTTCTGAGAAGCCTCGCCGCCTTCTGAGAAGGCCTTCTCCTTCTCACTCTCTCGCTCGCCGCCGAAAAGTGGTTCTGCGACCTACGTGAGACCGCATCCACGCGTGCAAGCGTGCCTTCTCGCATCCCCCCCCCGCACGCAGCTTTTCCGGGCTGCGCGGCGCACGCGCCATCCGCGTGCGGCCCGCCCTCGCCCCCCCCCCCCCCCCCGGAAAAGCTGCTTGCGTCGGCAGCGTCACGAGCACAGCACGGAGCATATCACTACGCTGTTCTTGCAGTAGGGGCCCGACCACTAGAAACCTTCCATAAGAGGCCCAACCCAGAGACCTCAGGACGTCCATTGATTTCTGGTGTGGGGACGTCATGCTTTCCGTTGCAAAACCATCGAAACCCAAGAAACCCTGGGCACCCTGTGATTCGGTTTGGAAATGTGATTCCTGCGCCGCCATCATGGTCCAAATGGCGCTCCTACCGCATCAAACAAGCGAAACTGGGGCCGCAAACCATACAGTCAAAACGCGTACTGAGGACGGATGGTAAGGGCACAGGACCCTTGGAGACCAAAGTTAAGATTCTTTGGGCGGCGGGCGACCCATGAGAACGGCAAAGGGCGGGCCGCAGAGGCAAGGACACCAGGGCACCTTAGATGAAGGCGCGCGTCCTTGCTGTGCGCGTTGACTGTATTATGTTTTCTTAATTCGGTGGAAATTTGATTCTTACGCTGCCGTCACGGTCCAAATGGCGCTCCTACCACATCAAACAAGCGAAGCCGGGGCCGCAAACCATGATCGCACTCAGGGGGCCGAGCAGTTCTGATTTTTTTCTGGGTTTGGAGCTGAAGTGGGGCTCCGAGGTGCACATTGTCGTTCGTATTCTTGTTGAACTCCCATTTCTGAGGGATCCCCACGCCGGCGCCTGCTGGCTTTTCTCAGTTTGAGTGCGCCCCTCGGCGATCGCATTTTTTCCTGGGCTGGGGGAGCCTTGAGCCACAAGCTGTGTAGTTTGATCTTTTCTGCAACGGCACCCCGCCCGAGACTTCCTCGCAACCTACTCCTCTTACTCGGGAATCGCGCTGTCGCTCCAAACATCCTTGTGACTTAAGAATTGTGCTCTCGCTGGATATTTCGGCATGACTTGCAAAGGAATCGCGCTCTCACCGCCCAGCAGTCGCGATCTCGCAAACGAGTTTCTCGAAATGTGGGGTCTCGGCGTGGTTGGACCAACACGGAATAAGGACCCGTAAACTTTCCTAAACGTTCCAGTTCGTCGGTCTTCCGACTCCAAACGGCCCTATCATGGCCTCCAAGACAGCCAAGATGGTCTCCAAGACGGCTGCGATGGCCACAAGATGGCTCAATATAGCCAAGATGGCCTCAAAATCGCCCAAGACGGCCCAAGAGGCCTCCAAGACGGCCCGAGGGGCCTCCAAGAGAACCTCCAGGAATGTCCGAGGAAACCAATTTCACTGGTTTTCCATGTGTTTTTGATGGATTGTGGCGTTTGAGCGGGCCCGCATTCTCAATGTATTCGAACGGGTGCGGAGGACGTAGGAACATTTTTTTCTCCAGCCCGCGACCCCCAACGAATAGCAATTCACTCGAATGGGTGCGGGGGGCTGCGGGCAATTTTTCTTCGGCCCGCACCCCCAATGAATTCAAATTCATTGGAACGGGCGCGGGGGGCGTGCGGGCAATTTTTCCAGCCCGCAACCCCCAATGAATGGCAAGTCGCTCGAATGGGCCAGGGGGCTGCGGGCAATTTTTAAAGGCCCGCACTCCGAATCATTTCACATTCATTCGAACGGGCGCGGAAAGCGCGCGGGCAATTTCTTCTGGCCCGTAAACCCCCAAACTGCCCAGCAGAGGAGGAACATATCAAACGAACACGTCTACTTAACACACGGACTTGTAAGACCTCGCCCAACGCTCATCTTCGGCTTTCCCACTGCCCAAGACGGCCCCAGAGGCCACCAAGATGGCCCCAAGAGCGCCCATCAGAGGCCTCCGAGATGGTCCACTGATGGCCCAAGAGACCCCCAAGAGGACCCGAAGACGGCCAAGAAGACCGCCAAGGCGCCCAAGATGGCCTCCAAGACGACCCTTAAAGCGCCCGAAGAAGGCCCCAAGGCGGCCCGAAGTGGTCCCCAAGATGGCTCCCGACGGCGTCAGACGGACCAGGCGCGCCCCCAGACGCCTCAAGAGCAACCCGAGGAGGCTCCAAAGGCCCGCAAGAGGCCATGCCGGCTTGTGACTCCCGTGGGCTACCGACTTGCTCCGTTCGATGGGGAACACCACCCCCATCTGTCCCACGCACGCGGCGGAGGAGGAGGAGGAGGAGGAGGAGGAACAGGAGGAGGAGGAGGAGGAGGAGGAGGAGGAGGAGAAGGAAGGGAAAGGAGGAGGACGACGACGGCGATGATACTAGAAGGAGGAGGAGGAGGAGGAGGAGGAGGAGGAGGAGGTAACGAGGAGGAGGAGGAGGGAGAAGGAGGAGACTAGGAAGGACAATGATAATGACGGGGAGGATCGAGAGGAGTCAGGAGGCGGAGGAGAAGGGGAACTACTTCAAAGAGCAAATGGCAGTTCTAAAACACCAGAACAACCAAACATACGTCAAACACACTGGACGGGTCTACAAGAACCAAGCAATCAAGGATCTGGTGAAGAATCTTGGGCGGGCCTCCTCCACGGGCCAGCATACGTTCTGCAATCCTTGGATGCTTGGGGTTTGTTGGGAATTGGCAAATTTTTTGGTATAATGAATACGGTTGCTGTTTCCGATCGACCCATCCGGTTCAATCTGATTCAATCTGATTGAACGGCTTCCCAGCACGAGAACACAGCCTCGTGACTCTGGGCCCTGGCCATCACACGCAAGCGCTTGGACTGATGGGCAACCACGTGTGTAGCAGAGAGAGAGAGAGAGAGACAAACAAATGAGAGAGAGAGGAAGAAAGAGAAAGAGAGAGAGAGAGAGAAAGAGAGATAAGTAGGCACAGAGAGAGAGAGAGAGATGGAGAGGGAGAGAGAGAGGGAGAGAGAGCAAGAGAGAGAGAGAGGGAGAGAGAGAGAGAGAGAGAGAGAAAGAGAGAGAGAGGGCGAGAGAGACTGAGAGTTAGAGAGAGAGAGAGAGAGAGAGAACGAAAGGAGATAAAGAGCGAGAGAGAGAGAGAGAGAGAACAACAAAAAAGAGGAAGGGAACGAGAGAGCAGGAGAACACGAGAGAAGTGCAGCGAGCGCGATGGGGGAAGAGCGGGAGCGCCCGCGAAGCCCCAAGTGGTCCCCCCGCGGGACCCAAGAGGGCAGCCCACGGGAGTGTCCCATGCCGGGCTCACGGAGGCCCCGAAGAGGCCTCCAAGGCCCCCCCAAAGCTCGCAGGAGGCCCCAAGGAGTGATCCAAGGGGCGCCCAAGAGGCCTCCTCCTCCTCCTCCTGTTTTCTCCCTCTCCTCCTCCTCCTCCTCCTCCTCCTCCTCTTCTTCTTCTTCTTCTTCTGAGTCTTTTCCCCTACGGGTCCCCCGAAGGGCTTCTGCAATGGCTGGGGGAACACGTAGCACGATATCTTGGCCGAGCTCTGGCCGCGACGTTCGGCCACATAGGCGCTCCCAAAAGGCAAGGGGCGGCGGCGATTCGCCGCAGGAGTCTTCGATCCGCCGCCCCTGGTGGCCTGCCACAGGGGTGAACGGCGTGCTGGATGTTCGGTAGTTCTTGGTTCTTTCTATGGAAGTTCCCAAAGGGCCCTCGGCCTATCCGGCGGGTCACCAGCAAGGCCGCCGAAAACGGGTTCTTCATTGGCCCAATCGCCCCCACGACGGCCACGATGGCCTCTTATTAGACGCCTCCGAGACGGCCGAGGTGGCCCAAGAAAGCATCCGAAACGGCCCAATTACGCTTCCAAGATGGCCCAAGATGCACCCAGACGGGCGAATATTGCGTCACTATGGGCTGACACGGCTCAAGAGGCCCCCAAGATGGCCCAAGAGCCTCCAAGAGGTCCTCAAGGAAGGCCAGAAGAAACACCATCACTGCATTTCCTAAAGTGGTTTGCTGCTTTTGTCGTTTGCTCCTTTTTTTCCCGACGGCCCAAGAGGCGTCCAAGACGCCCAAATATAAAACCTTAAGAAAGCCAAAATGGCCGCAACATGGTTCCAAGACGGTCCAAGAAGCACCGAAGACGGCCCAAGATGGCCTCAAGATGGTCCAAGACGGCCCTCCAAGAGGCCTCCAAGACGGCCCCAAAGGCTTCCAGTAAGGCCCGAATAAGCCAAAGTCATTGATTTGCATTGGGTGTTTGGAGAGTGTTGGCTTTTGCCCCACGGCCCAAGACGGCCCAAAAGTCACTCAAGATCGCCTACGAGGCCTCCAAGGTGGCCGCATGACGGCCTAACAGGACCCTAGTCAAGCTGGCCTCCAAGACGGCCAAGACGGCCTCCAGACAGCCCAAGAGAGCCGTAAGATGTCCCTTAAGACTGTCCATGATGCACCCAATACGGCCCGAGATGGCCCCAAGATGGCCCAAGACGTCCCAAGAGGCCCCCAAGAAGCCTCCACCACGGCCAGAGAGGCTTCCAAGAGGCCCTACAGGAAGACCCCAAGAGAGCAAAATCATTGATATGCCTTCGGCGTTTACTGTATGTTTGCATTTGCTTGTTTTCGGCCTTCTGACTTCTGACGGCCCCAAGGGCTCCCAGCATCGCCCCGGAGCGCCCAAGATGCCTCCAAGATGGCTCAATGACGGAGACAGCCCCAAGATGGCCAAACAGACTTTCAAGCGCCAAAGATGGCCTCTAAGACCACCTTGAAGCGCCCCAGGAAGTCCCCAAGACGGCCCAGTAGCCCCCGACGGCGTCAGAAAGACCAGGAACGCCCTCAGACGGGGCCCGCAAGAAACCCAGGGATGCCCCCAAGAGTCCTGCAAGAGGCCCCCAGGAAGATCTCAGAAGACCCCAAAGAGTGCCCCAAGAGGCGCCCAAGAGGCCTCCTCCTCCTCCTCCTCCTCCTCGTCCTTCTCCTCCTCCTCCTCCTTTTTCCTCCCTCTCCTCCTCTTCTTTTCTCCCCCAAGCGTTCCCCGAAGTGTTTCAACAACGGCTGGGGAAACACATAGTTTTATAACTTGGCCGAGCTCTGGCCACAACGTTCGGCCACATAGTCGCTTCCAAAAAAGCATGGGGGGTGATTCGCCGTAGGCGTCTTCGATCCGCCGCCCCCTGTGACTGCCACAGGGGTGCGAGGCTTGCCGACATGTTTGGTTGTTTTGTTGCTTTCAAATCTCGGCATATCGGGCCAGCCATCCAGAAGTACCCGTCAAGGGTGTCTCCCGCCGGCTGTCTCGCCCAAGATGGCCCCACGATGCCCCCAAGACGCCCAAGCTGGCCCAAGATTATCTTCAATATTACCTTCAAGACTGCTAAGATGGCCTCCAAGACGGTCCCAAGACGCCCCCAAGACGGTCCCAAAATGCCCCCAAGACTGCCAAAGGGGCTCCGAAGACGCCACAAGAGGGCTCCAAGAGGACATCCAGGAACCCTGAATCAAGTATACGGCCCCATACGCCTCCAAGATCGCCCCAAGAAGGAACAAGAGGCTCCCAAGAGGCCTGCAAGACTGGCCAGGAGTGTGCCAAGACGGCCCAAGAGGCCCCCAAGACGGCCCTACGACTGCCGAGAGATGGCTCCAAGACGGTCTCTGAATGCCAAGAGGCTCCTTAACGGGTCTCCAAGAGGCTCCCAGGAAGCCCTAGGAAAGCTTTCTCTTGTTCCTCCTCCTCCTCCTTCTCCTCCCTCTTCTCGTCCTTTCTCTTCCTCTCCCAAGTGCTCCTCCGAGGGGTTCCACAACGGCTGGGAGGACGCATAGTCCAATAGCTTGGCCAGGCTTCGGCCCAACGTTTGGCCGCATGGGCGTTTCCGAAAGGCAGGGGTTGGCGGTGATTCGCCGTAGGCGTCCTCGATATTACGAACACAGTTCCGCAGAGGTTCCACTCAACATAGGACTGTAGGTTTTGCGTCAGCGGAGGGGCTCCCTCACAACAGACTCACTGCCGCGTTTGACAGAGTCGCGCTGGTACCTATTTTGTCGCCAACAGATTTCAGGCGCCGTAAGAAAACAGCACATGTCTGCCAATACACTATCGCATCTCATTTGCCCGATCGATTTGCTTAACTTAAACCGCATCATCACTACGACTCGCCAGAACAATATGTACACTGAATAGCACGAAACACATGGCCCGACACTACACCACCACAATACCGACCGTACAACTCCCGCTCGAATCCGGGGAGTCAGTCCTCTTACCAGCATGAAGCTTAATCGAATGCACTCCGTGAGTAACATCGTCGGTGTCCGTCTGGCCTGGCATGCGTGCGGGCCCCGTCCTGGTCGGCACTCGATCAGACAGCTAACGAGGGGCCTTCCCGGGCACAGGCAATCATAGCATCCATACGTCCATACCCATACGGTTCGAGGCTCGTCTGGCATGGGATGTCTTGCACGGAAGCCTCTCCTGCACTCTCTGACTTGCAGCGGCGGCTGGCGCCCAGCTGGCGGGGGGCCCGTACACTTCTGCGTGGCCACCGTCTGATAGGCCTCCTACCCTCTCCTCCTCCTCCTCCTCCTCCTCCTCCTCCTCCTCCTCCTCCTCTTCCTTCCTTCTCCTCCCCCTCTCTCCTCCTCCTCCTTCTCCTCCTCCTCCTCTTCCTTCTCCTCCTCCTCTTCCTCCTCCTTCTCCCTCCCTGGCTGCCGCGTGCTCACGCGCGGGAGCATGGTAGGAGGGAGAAACGCGAGGGGAGGGAGGGGGGATGGAACCAACAGTAGGGGGAACGAAAAAGGAGGAAGATGGGGGGGGGGGGGGCGAGGAGAGGGATGGAGGGGGAAGGGAATTCTCGGACCGTACGGAGGGTCGTAGGTCGGAATACTATGGAATACGCACACCAACCTTAATTTCCTGATCCGGGAGGCCCCCATACCTCCCTCGAGATCCTTCAGCAAATACACCTCACTCTGGAGTTTTTGAGACTCCCTCTGGGGCACGACACCAGCGTTTTGTCTCGAAGCGAGTCTGGCCGTGGCGTCGAGCGGCCCCTTCGATGGCCAACGCAAACATGCGCGAATTGAGTACGGAATCGAGCCGGCGTTGCATCCTCCCAGCCTCCAGGATCCCGTTGTCAGGGTCGTCATCGCTCAGCCACATCGGCATCTCAATCTCCTACAGAAAAAGAAATGGGGGAGGGAGGAAGGACGATAGAGAAAGGGGCGGATGGGGGAGGGAGGATGGAGATGGCGAAGGGAGGGGGCGAGGGAGGGAGGAAGGAAGGGGAATGGGACAATAAGGTGGGAAACAAGTCAGCTGCGCTCGCGCCGTATCTGACATCCTATCCTTCTCGCCCATGCCTTCCCATTGCGCTGGAGTTCTTCTGTTCGCCGACGGGAGTGTCTTTGAGCACCTTGATCCCGGAAATGCCCCCACTGCTTGACGCGCGATCAAAAAAGGGGGCTCTATACACTAGAGTGGCGGGGGGAGGAGGAGGAGGAGGAGGAGGAGGAGGAGGAGGAGGAGGAGGAGGAGGAGGAGGAGGAGGAGGAGGAGGAGGAGGAAAAAGAGGAGGGGAGAAGGAAGAGGAGGAGGAGGAGGAGAAGGAAAAGGAGGAGGAGGAGCAGGAGGAGGAGGAGGAGGAGGAGGAGGAGGAGGAGGAGACAGTCGAGCAGGAGTAGAAGCAGGAGGAAGAGGAGCAGGTGAAATATGTGTAATATGGGGAAAGAGAGAAGGGAAAGCCAAAACTAGTTGTTTGAATCGGCAAGGTGCCCATGAAGTGCCCTGGGGACAGGACCAATGCTCGCTCGCAAAATTCCGACAAACTGACACTGACAGGTGGGGGTTAATAGGGGAAGGCTGAACAAAGTTCGAAATTTCCAGGCACATCTTCCTCCCGACGAAAGGCCTCGCGCACGGAAGCGAACTGAACACCAGGGCTCGGGGGAGCCACGTTCCCAAAGGGATGCCCCTGGTTCTTTGGTTTCCCGACTTCGTCGGGGTGGAGCATGTCGCACGTGATATATCTGAAACTTCGGGAAGACTGCCCAGAATGAGAAAGCGCACAACCGCACCGGCGGACTTCGACAACGCCTCCATGGGCAATGGGCGACAAATCACAAGCAATTTCTTCAATTGACCGCCGCAGGGGTACCCATGGTATTGGACACCCATATGCATCATGTTTCATCTAAAGTAGGTGAGACCGATAACATGGTGACCCATCTCAGCAAGGGTCGTGGCCACTAGAAGTCGCTGTCCAGAGCAACCTGTTGTAGGCGGCTGATCTTCCTGTTTCTTCAACTTTACCCAAGCCTGACACCTCCAGAAAGGATTGCACCAAAACCAATCATGCTGAAACATATGGAGCCACGCGTCAAGGGGGCCCCAGTGATGCTTCGGCCATGGAGGTAAGGGCGAATAAGCAAATAGATGGGCCAGGCGCACGACTTCGAAATGATCTCTCAACTCGCTTTCCGCGTCTGCAGCGTCGTTTCCACGTTTGCAATCAAATTTGTGCTCTCCTGGACATGGGCTTCGGGCTCGTCCACCGAACTGAATCAAGGGGTCGCGTATTAGAAACATGCCTGCTTGTGGCCACTTGGGCGAGGTCTGCGTAGCTAGAGGCAAGGCGAGCTGCTTGACCACATTGCTGCAGACATTATTGCCTGTCGAAGGCCCGCCTGGCAACTCGTTGGCGGCACCATAAGCGCCAAAGTCCCCGGCATGAAAGGTTTGGGGGGATTGGAACAACATGCTAGTGATCTTCATTTACATCAATTTTACACCATCCAGCCCTGTTTAATTCTGAAACGGCGAACTTAGAAGCTGAACCATAAAAAACACATGCCCTTGAATCTCAGTGCTGGCATTTGACGGATCTCCTGTCCAGGAAACCTAGATGGGATCTTCGAAGGCAGGTGGCGGCATGGAGTCAGCGGGGTGAGGGAAGCATGCCCCACTGAACAACTGGAACTTTGGACGATCTTCGAGAGTCACAAGCGCATTGAACATCGCGAGTGTCAGCGATCTCCGGTCTTTCCGAATCGACTACAGGACATTCCCACATTCGGTGCTTGATCGTGTCAGGCGCTTGCCGACGCAACGGGCAATGTAAATCATCCAAGGCGTCTCCAGCCCCATCAGTGCGCGCGCGTGTCCACAGGCCGTCGCAAAGCGAAGCACTTGAGACCACCCTTCTGCAATGGCGACAGCTGGTGGGATCTGATTATAACCTTGACGACTTCGAAGCAAACGCGACGCTTGGCCCCGCTGGTTCATCTTTTTTCGCGAGATTCTCACAATCCGTCATCCTCTCACCCATCTTATCCATTAGGCCACTGTGCTGCTTCAAGGTCGTGTCAACGTGTCAAGTTGTTTCAAATGGATCTGTGACTCATTCAATGGTTCCAGAATCTCAGCATGCTTATCCTCTGCTTTATGATCCGTTCAGACAGTAGTTTCTGCCAGGGTGTTTCGCACGCACCCAGAGGCTGCTCGCGTTTTTGGTTCAACACCTCGAGCTCGTTTGCGCCTATCGACGGCATTGGGGCCTTCGACCACGTGCGCCGCGACCGCATGATCGAGAAGCTCATGTCGTTGCCTGGGGCCTCCGCCACGGTTCCTTCCACGATGCTTTCTTGTGGCCAGCCGTCAACGCACCTCTTGACAGACGACGCAGGAGTTGCGCGCGAGGTGAGGCAGGGTGAGGGAGACGAGAAGGGCGACCCGCTTACGCGCTGAATCCCATGGCGCAGCACGGCGTCCTGGAGATGGCGCGCGCGCGGCTGTGACCACGAGAGACGTTGCTCGCGCACCTCGGCGACGCCTGCATCATCTGCAGACCAGAACGTGACACTGCTGCTTCCCATTAAAGCACCGCCGCGATACGGGAGAGGGACTGGCATTGAGGCGAACCCGGGCAAGTGCCGCATGTGGAACCATCCTCGTCCTTGGGCGCAGAAGTCTGGGTGGGCGGCGCCCGCGCGCCTGAGCAACACCGGGGCCTTCGGGTGCTGGGCCAGCCCCTGGGCACGCTGGCGTTCGCGGCCAGGCTGACGCAAGAACAGACAGACGAGTAACGCAGATTCCTTCAAGAGCTCCCAAATATACCAGACCTTCAACGTGCGTGGGCTTTCCTGCTGTACTGCGCTGTGCCACGGTGCAACCACGTGCTGCGCTCGCTGCCTCTATCGTCATCGTGGCCCTGCGCCGAGGAGCACGACCGCTCGCTCCAGGAGACGCTGCAAGGCCTTCTCGATCTCGCCTTGGCGCTAGCAGACGCAGAACAACTCATCCGAGTGAGCTTGCAGCCGCTTGGCCTCGGCGGCCTGGGGCTGAGGTCTGCAACGCTCGCGGCCGAGTGCGCGCACTGGGCGTCATGGGCGGATGCGCCCCCCGTGCTGCGACAACGAAGCCTTCTAGGCGCACCAGAGCTTACTGCCGCCCTCCGCGAGGGGACAGGCGCCGCGGCCGAGTGCCTCCAGGGGGCCAAGCGCGCCAGGGCCGCCGCCGCTCGCGACGGACTCGCTTGCCCAGCTGGGCGAGAGGTCAGGGACGGCGCGCGCCCAGAGCAGACGGAGCCAGAGCCGGGCGAGTGGAAGCACGGATGGCAGCACCACGCGTCAGCAGCCCGAGACCGACGCTTCAGAGAGGAGGTCGTGCTTCCCAACCTGACAGACGACCAGCACTGGATGATCGACTCCAATGAGGGCCGCTGCGGAGGGCGACGCCTGACCCTGATCCCGTCGAAGCCGGAAAGCACCTACACGCCCGAGCGTCTCCGGACCCTGCTCCTACGACGGCTTCGCCTGCCTCTGGGCGCCACGGCCACTCCTTCTCGAGCTCTCTCAGGGCGCCCTGATGAAGAAACATCTGGATCAACTTTGGTGAGGAAATCGCCAGGCGGACCTGTACTCCTTGACCTGTCTTTCGCGTGGTGAAGCCTGGCATGTTCCATGTGATAGGATGTAAAGACATGCGAGTTGCACGCAGGGGCCCCGTGACCGACCTCCACGAAGATCACCTGCAGAGCAGGCATAGGACCACACCCCACAGAGCACGCTGAAATGAACGAGGACATCAAGGCGCCAGACTGAATAGGTATGGCGGGCTTTCGGCCTTCCCCCTGCTCGGTGTTCCTCCCTTCCTCCTCCTCCTCCTCCTCCTCCTCCTCCTCCTGATCCTCCTCCTCCCCTGATGGAAGCCTCACTATCATCATTCCTCCTCTCTTCTGCCCCGCCTCCCCTTCCTCCTCCCCTTCCTCCTCCCCTTCCTCCTCCTCCTCCTCCTCCTCCTCCTCCTCCTCCTCCTCCTCCTCCTCCTCCTCCTCCTCCTCCCCCTTTTCCTCTTCTCGAACCCCGAGGGGCTTCGCAATCCCCTGTTCTCGAAGAAGACGGGTGAAGAAGAGGAGTGGAGCAAACAGAGCGGTTCTTTTTCAAGCCCTTTGAAGGCCGAAAGCCCGCCATGCCCAACCGACCACCCCGGGGGCATTAGTCCATAATTCCTTGGCATGCCAGGCCGCAAGAACCACGGCGGAAAACCGGCAAAGCCCGCCCCATAATAGTGAGAGTGGTAAGCGGGCAAGACCCCATTCGGTTTAACCGCTCTCCCAAACGCCCGTCGGGAGTTGGCGGGCTCGTCGTCCAAAGCCCTACGGATCTCGCAACCGAAGGCAGCAGCAGGAAACCCTCCAGAAACACAAATCTCCCTGGCGTGACGCCCCAAGGCAGCCCTGCATCTCTTAATGCGCCTCGGCCGCGTCTGGAAAACCTTAGGCCTTTTTTTGATAATTGGACCCTTGCGTGGGGCGCCGCCTGGCGCGACTCGCCGTGCCATCAATGCCGAGATTGGCACCTATCGTGATGTCGTTGCCACCTGGGCCGCTGAAGCAATTGCGCAGGTGGTATCCGAATTTCATAGAAAGAGGAAGAGGAGGACATGACGGTGGCCGCGCCCTCGGCGATGGAACTGCGAAGCTCTAACCTGGCGGGATATGCTAAGGCTGCTGCTGATTCTTTCATCTGATCTCGAACGTCCTGCTCGGAGCCAGTTGCCGACAGCCCGTAGTCGTCTCTACAGACAGAAATACAAAATGCCTTCGGCAACGCTAGAATGCCCAGGACAGGGATCAGGAAAACAGGGACACGCGTAGTAGCCAGCGAGCGCCCAGCGAT